AAATCCACTTGAGTAATGGGGATGGCTGCCTGGCTATGTTGAGGCTCCTGAGTTAAAAGGGAGGAAATGCAGTTCCTGGTTCAAGAAATGGGGTCAGAATCATAGAACTTAAAGTGGAAGGGGCCTCAGAGATCATTTAGTCCAACACCCTTGTTTGCTAAATGAGACTGAGTGACTTACCCAAGGTCACACACCTAGGGCCAAGTTGGACCTGGGACCTAGGGCTCCCGTGCTCTTTGCAGGGCTTCACATCTGGATTAACTGCTCTAACTGCATTACAGGAGCACACTGAGTTCAGCTGCTCAATGTCCGTTCGATACCTACATGCCAGGAGCTAGGTCATACACAAGGCAGGGCAAGGAAGACTGGGCACAACTGTCCTTGAGGAGTGGGTGAAACATGTATGAAAAATAACTTAGAACGTAATGGGGTAAATGCTGTCAGAGGATCACGAACAAAGAACTGGCAGCTCCTGAGATGAAGCGTAGACCACACTGCCCGGGAAAGGGAGGGACAGCAGTACAAATCAGGTACAGGTATCCAATGCTGGGCAAAGAAGTCACAGGGCCTTAGAGGCAAAGGAGACGGTGTACAGGGCTCGGTAGGGTCCCGTCTACTGGTGTGTTTTGTGTACTTTTTTGGATTGTGTCAAGTTCTTCTCTATGTGCTCTCATGAAGCTGCAGAAGGGCCCAGTGTTTGGAAAGTGGTGAGGTTTGATGAAGAGGTGGCCGGAGGTAAGGCTGCAAGGGCAGTCTGGGGTCTAGTGGTTAAGTGTCTTCAATGCCAAGAGGCTCAGGTTTGTCTGTAAGGGATGTCACCTCTGTTTTATAGGGCAGTGTCTCTGGCAGCAGTGTGAAAGGCACACCGGACCAGGGGGAACCTGGTGGCAAACCAGTCATTAGGATGTCACTGTACAGTGTATGTGACAGGACACAGGACACTGGACTCGGGCTGTGACCCACTGGAAGGGCTGAAGGCTAGTGAAGAAAGACTAGGAAGTGGAGTATCCCTGTGGCTTCCAGCTCAGATGACCGAGAGGATGGGGATACAATCCACTGGAGCAAGAACACCACAGATGAAGTAGATTTTGGTGGGGAGATGCTGACCTCTTCTAGGACATGAAGAGCTTGAGGCCCTTGCGTGACAACCAGGTAGAAATGTTTACTGGAAAGCTAGAAAAACAACCTGTTTCCATGAAAACTTCTCTCTGGCACTAATATACACCACACACATATCTACATTTTTACAACATAGCTCCCTAGTTCTAAGGGATTGTGCTAAAGGATTTTGTGATATTGGACACTACTAATGACATAAAAGGACAAGGGGACAGCCTGCTGGGAATAAAACACTGAGAGATAAAGTTCAAAGGTCTAAAGGGGCTTGTGGAAGAGGGTACAGTAAGGGGTAGGGAGTGAAGGGCTGGGGTAGGCGGAAGCAGGACCCTGGATGGGCCTAGAGGAATTCTGGAGAGATCGCAATGGGACGCTGGGTGGATACCCCCCCGCCCCCAAACCACTACCAACACGACTCCACTTCTGTGACAGCAGGATGATGCTGGGCTAGCTACCAGCTTGTCCAAACCTAGGAGGAATATTTTCATCTGTTTCATCCCTACTCCAATTTTACGATGGAAGTAATTAAGAACAATCCAAACGTCTCATGGCCAAATTATAGGAACTTGTCTGTGGGATAAAGGGCCTCATATTTTAATTCCCACTTATGAACTATTCTTCTCAAGCATTTATTTTTTGGGTCCTTTGTATCACCCCTCCAATAACATGAAAACTCTGAGGGTTCCGTTTGATGCTTGGACTTCTAGACACCTCTGTAGGAGAGGTGTCTGTGATTAACTGGCCACACAGTCATGCATTTGTGCAAATGAATTAAGGCAGCAAAGTGATATAGTGTGAAAAAACAAAAACATCTGGGGTCTGGAAGTCTGTCTGAAGGCCTGGCTCTTCCACTTACCAGTTGTGTGATCTTGGGTAAGTCTGAGTCTCAGTTTCCCCATCTGTGAAATGGGGATAATGATAATACTAGTTCTACCTCCTTGCCAGCAATGATGTAAGAAGTAACCGTAACAGAACTAGTAGGGGTAGCAATAACAAGGGTGTAGATCAAAGGGTTCTGTGAGCTGCAAAAAGATGTCCTACATATTAGTTGTTATGATTGTGGTAGAGTGAAAGGTACATACAGGTTTTGACAGTGGACAGACCTAGGTTCTAATCCTGAGTCCACCAGTCACTAGCAATAAGACCTTGAACTCTCTTCAATTTCCTTATCTGTAGAACTGGGATAGAAATACCCACCTCACTGAGTTGTTCTGAAGGCAAAAGGTCACTATATGTGTAAACTGTAGTGTAACGGCTTGGAATGTGGTTGGAACCGCAAGTTGATTTTCCTGTCTTTCTGTGCTTATTGGAGACTTCCCCAAGCTTGTTAGGGGGCTCTGGGAATAAGTGGGGGCTGAGTATGCAGAAGCAAATAAAAGACATGGTCCCTGTCCTCAAGAAGCTTTTAGTCAGTTCAGAAGATAAAACACACACACATTAAACAATATTAAAAGAATTACAGAACAGCAGATCAACAAGCTTGAGATGGTTAACAGGCAGAGCCCTGCTTTCCCTAGCTTGGCAGTTCATCAATTCCCCCCCTATTGTAACTGAAATGTGTTTAAAGGAAATTTCTTGTCCTACCTGGGAGTGAAAGGAGAGAGGATCTCTCACAGATATGGGACTTTTTTTTCTGCTGGACTCCAGGCTTACTTATCAAACTCCCATCTCAACGTTTCTGATCTTCTTCTCTGTCCTACAACTAACAGCCCACAAATACCCAAATGAAATCTTTGACATAGAGACTCACTCCTAAAAGGTCGGATGAATGATCTGGTTATATAGTAGACTGTTTCATTTTGTAAGATGTTATATCTAGATCAGCAAGATGTGGATGGAGAATGGGAAGCATTAATGAATGCCACAGAAATGCTGTTCCGCCATCAACCGGGCTACGTATGTGTGGGAAGGACACAGAAGGAGATGGGGCCTGATCACAGGCTCCTCGCAGGAGATGGACTCAGGGCCAGACTGTGATGGCAGCGATGGACATAGATTGATGGGGATAAAGCCATCCTAGGGGCAGAAGAATTAGTCAAGCAAAGGCACAGAAGCAAGAGTTAGTTGTGTGCAGAGATTGGCAAGCAGGCTGGTTTGGCTGAGGTAAAGGAAAAAGAAAGCTCAAAACAGATATGGGATACAAAGGAGGATCTGAATGGAGACTGGAATCCTAGGCTGACAAGTCTGGATGATGGTACAAAGGTATTTTTGTCTTCAAGGACCCTACATCTAAGAATATTAAAAAAAAAAAAAATCCTCGTTACAAAGTTTGAAAGCTATGAAACGGTATTGCCCTGACATTTAAAAGGAAAATGTTCTATGCTCTAATTATTCAATTTTCATATCCCTATGTGTCTAGCACAGTGCCTTGCCAACAGCAGGTCCTCAGTAAGTGTTTATGCACTAAATTTAGTTGTAATTGATATTATCTTGCACTTTCACAGAAAGAAAAGGTATAGTGTCTTATGGGACTCCTAATAAAAGAACCATGATCAAGAGAAAAGCTAGATCTCTGCACAGAAGACTCATTTTCATCATCATTTACAGAGTTAGGAAAGGCATTAGAATTCTACAGGAAATTTTGCAAAATGCTTTCCAGGGATTTCTTGTTTTCTGCTAGATGGTGAGCAACTTGAGGGCAGGGTCCATGTCTTATCTAGCTGTGATTTGTAGTATCTAGTATAGGCTGGGGGCACACAGTAAGTGCTCAGTAAATGCTTATTAAAAGGATATAATGCATGGGTCATGTCATAAATGAAGAACAGTAGAGAACCATTTATTAAGAATCCTTCTCATTATTTTAACTATTTTTATTATTTTCTTGCATCAATGTCACTAGACATTCTGACCGTGCAAAAGTCAGGCCCCCTTTGTATCATACAGCCTGGAAACTGAACTACTGATTGGTGTAGACGCAGCTTCTTATATATGGGGCAGCGAGAGGTCTAGATTCTAGTCTCAGATATTCCTCTAACTTGCTGGGTGTCCTTGGGCAAGTCATTTCCTTCTCTGGGCTTGAGTCTCCCCATCTATAAAATGAAGGGGTTGGACAAGATGATCCCCAAGATTCTATTCTAAGAGTCTCAATATTAGGCTACTAAATAATCTTGATCTATTTAAAAAGCTGCAAGGTTTTTAAGACACTAAAACTCAATGCTGTTAAACCTTTGTTTCTAATCAAGATATTCTAAGCCTAAGAGTCAAACACGGCATCCTACCTATAATTGACCTACATCAAGAACAGAAATCCTTCCTGCGAAACCACTGGCAGATGATTAGAATGATTACAAAAGTAAATCACAGCAATGGCAAATGTTAACAAGGGAGGATCTAAATTCAGTCATGGCCCTCAATAAACAGGCCATGAAGAGTTACTGGCACTAAAAATGAAGGTCACATCTAAAAGGAATGGCTAGTGTCAGATATATGTACATTATGGTTAAACGGAGATACTGTATATTGAAATGTGCATCAGGATTAAGATATTCACATAGCAACAACTCCTTCATACTTACCTTCAATGCTATACACAGGCCTTAACATAAGTTAAGACTGCCCTCGTTATCATCAAAAAGTACAGTGATGTCTACTGGATAAAGAGCCCATTCTAGGCACTGTGACAGTATCATGGCGGGCTTCTCATCTGATCAGGCATCTGGCCAGGGAAGAGATAAGCCTCCAAGAATGTTCAACTGGAACGAAACATCATTTAGAAATTTGATCTTACTAAACGATAAGGAACCATAATCTATAAGGGCTTGGCCAGGCACAAGGACATAGATAAAGCAGGTCCAAGAAAGGAAACCCTACTTTGCCCCAGCCTAACCCTTGGAACTGCTAATGGAAACCAAAAAATACTTTCTTAAAGATTTAGGGGTGGGAGATTATGGGATTTATACCATATTTAAAAATTTCTGGTCTGTTTTTTTTTTTTCCCCCAGATATATTTTAACATTTTCCTGAGCCACCATTTCCCTGTAAGGATGGTCCTCTGGGATGCCTGGGTTTCTGTAACTTCTCAGAACCTTAGACAAGGTTCTACTTTTTAGGGCTTCTGGTTCCTATGTAAGACTTTCCCCCAGAAATGACAGTGCAAAATTGGGGCTCAGACACTAACATACCCAATCGCACATTATAGAATAGGCCAGATGTATATGTGTATAAAACACCTTACTTGACCTGGAAGCAAGAGAATACTCTTGCCCACAGCACATGTTTTTGTGCAATACAAACAAAGCATTCAATTCAAGTGTACTTGTTGAAAAACAGGACATAATTAAGCAGTTGGTAAAATGCATTCTTGTTTCCCACTTGCAGATCTCCCAAGAGTCCCTTCGAATTTACCTATACGAGTTTCAGCTTCCCGCTTGCCACTTAGCTTGATAACGACTCAAAAATCATTCCCTTGTTTTCAAGGGCTCTTCTTTCTTGTCTGCTCTGTGTACTACAGGGCAGTATTGACACATGGAATTAATGACAGGGTCTGTAATGAAACAACAGTCATGCAAACACCAGTCTGCTCTTTTGATAAAACAGCATGTTAGAGACCTATTCACCTCCCTCTAATTGAGTACTGCATAATAGTTCCGATCCTTTTATGTCATATATTTTGTTCTATGATTAGAAAAGAAGAAAAGGGGGAAACCTGTGAGGCACTGCTTCCTTCAATCGCCCTCTGATTAATTCCCTGTTTCTAATGAGGGTGGCTGCTATTTAGGCAGGTTCTGTTACATACTCGTTTTGTTGACTTCTGTACAATGTATAACAAAACCCAAGATGGGATAATTGGGAACCATTTCTTTGGCACAGGGATTCCTGCTCTTAATGTAAGGTTTGCTTGGAAAAAAAGAACCCTGACTTTTTAAATTAGCCATTTCATATTTAATTCCTTTTCACATTTGAAAGGGTGAGAAACTGGTAAATACATAAAACATTTTTAATGAACACAGAGCTTTTCAAGAGATGCCTGCTAGTGTGGAGCCTGTGCTAGCTGGGAGAAAGCAGCTCTGTGATCTGTGCTCTAATCCCAAGTCTGAGAGTGCATCTTATTTCAAGATTTCAGCATCACTGCAATGGTCCATACTCCACCAAAGTTCAATGGACTGCCTAGTAACTTGTTGATAGGCTTACAAGTGTTTATAACACCTTTTTCTCATAGGAATAATATTATAACCTTGGCCATTGCTTAACATGTTCAGTTACATACTGGGAAAAAGTGTCCTTTGGGCTTGGACCCTGATCCTTCATCTTTCATGGTCTTTCATCTAATGACTTCCTAGTCCTGACTGGGTACACTGATTTTTCACTAAGCCGCTACCCCAGGATTTTTGGAGGGGTATGGTGGCTTTTCCACAGCAAATTCAAAGTCTTCAGGCTGTATCTTTTAAAACAATTCTGGGATCTTCCCTGAGACCTCACCATTGTGCTTTGGGACTGGGTACAATTAGGAAGGTGAATATGTAGCATAAAAAATATCATTTCCATGACAAATGGACACAGCATATCATCTATTTTGGATTTCTTTCTGTTTGTAAAGGTAATTGGGAGTTGCCTAAACAGTCCCATTGGGAAGCCTTTCAAAAGTTAGAATACCTATAATCATTCTCTTTTTAAAATAAAAAACTTCTATTAACAAAGAGTCATAGCAGTTTCACTGGTTTCCTTCTTATAAAGGTGTGTGTGTGTGTGTGTGTATGTGTGTATGTGTGTGTGTTTGATATAAACTATTTACTTTAGCACCTCACTTGATCTTCGAGAAGATCTCAACTACAGAATGAAAGAGCAGGAATGTGGGTCTTCCAAATCTTAATTCTCAGGTAAATATGCTTACAATCTTTGCACTTTGCATTTTTTTAAAATTTAGGACATCTTATTTAAAATCAGATGGACACATTTTTGAGAGCTGTTGGTCATTTTGCAAAATGACATAAGATCTGGAGTGTTAAGACTGAGAATCGAGTCCTGGCTATGTCATCAACCAGATGCCTGATCTTGGGTCAGTCTCCTAATCATTGGTTCTGTTTGTTCTTCAGTCAAACACTACTTGCTCTAATAATTCACAGGGTTGCTTTAATGATCAGTGGAGATAATATAAATGGAAACACTCTTTAAACTTTAAAGCACTATCTAAATATTAGTCTTTTACTATTCTCATTTCTGTTAGAAAATCACATGCAAAGCTTCTAAAAATTTGTTACCTACCTCACATTAAACAGCATGGTTAAAAAAATATGGAGAAAGAGGTTAGGGACAGTGCTAAAGAATCAAATTCAGTTTTATCCTTAAGTGAAGGCATTCTTATTTCTTGGTAATTTCTCCACAGGAGTTTTCTATCCTGTTGTCCAAATTAGTAAAATAAATAAGAGGTCAGCGTGCCCACTGACACTGTTGAATATAGCAGCAGAAATTGAAATTCTTACATGCTGTCCCTAATCAGAAAGACTTAAAAGTTGAAGGAGGGTAGCTAACAGCACAAACAGCCAGGGGACATTATTCTTATTTGAGGTTTCTCTATTAGAAGCCATTTCAGCTAGTGCTTAAACTAAGAGCTCAAAGTACTCATTCCTTCTACAGAGCTTAAAGGACAGTGACTACCAACAGGCAATACAAAGGGAGCATGACATCCTACTCAGAGGTGTCTAGCCAGTGAAGGCCCTCTATAACCTAAAGACACACAATACTAACTTTCTCAAATTAATCCTCCCTTGCCACTTTAAGGGCATATTAACTTAACTGGATCCAAGTTCCCTTAATTGAACTTCCAGGCAACCTTACAGTGTATTTTAATGATATCAGAATAGTGTTGCCATATGTAAATATACCATAAGCCATATATGGAATCTTAAAATATTCTAGTAACCACACTGAAAAAGATAACTAAAACTGACTTTGACTTTAATATATTTTGTTAACCCAGTATATAAAAAATATTTCAACATAAAATCCATATTAAACAATTGAGATATTTTACATTTCTCTTTTTATACTGAGTTTTTCAAAGTCTGAGTATTTAACCCTTATAGGACATCCCAATTCAGATTAACCACACTTCAAGCTCTCAGTAGTATATGGCTGGTGGTTACCGTATTGGACAGCACAGATCTAAAAGATTTTCCGATATAAACAATTACAATCTTTACACTTTTGAACCTACAGTAGATCTCAAAACACTTTAAAAACTGCAACATGTTTCTGAACCATACCTGAAAAGCATGTCCTTGACTAACTTATCATAAAGGTGGATGTGATCACAGGTTTTTTTTTTTATTTGAGTAGAGTAACTTATTCATAAGGAATAAAGTTATGTATTGCTTTTCAGTCATTGATTGCTCGTCCCAGCTTTAGTAAGTCTAAACAGAATCCCATATTTGGAACCTGCATTAATTAAGAAAGCCATGTCCCAAATACTACACAATGGCTATAAAAAAATATATATATATGATATGGAATAGATAAGAAACGGGAAAATTATTTAAATGTAAATTTTAGATTTGGATAAAATATATAAGCAAAAAAGCAATCAATGTACACTGTTAAATGTTGTTAAATGTGACCGGTTTAAGGGTGGGGTAGAAGACTAATCAGTGCCTGATTCCAATTAAGGAACTAAAGGGGATTAGAAAATCAAAACAAAACTGAAACTTGAAATATTATTTCCTTTGGTTCGTTGACGCTTAAGCCAATCAATCCTCTCCCTTCTTCTGGAGGAGGCGTCATTATTACACACGAGCTGTGTGCTGTAGCTAAGGTGGACGCAATTGTATTAGCCACACTGGACTTGCGTATACACACACAGTCCCCATTCTAATCCCCCACTTAAGTTGTGGGGGCTTATTTTTTTTTCCAATTCAAAGAAGGAAAGAGCAGGTGGAGAGGAAGGCAAATTTCATTCCCTTTTTCAGCTCTGCTCTCACATTATAGAAAGCTTCATTTGACATTTTTAATCTCCTGCCTCAGGCCTTAATGCTTGTTTGTTTGCTACATATTACAATGATTATTTTAGAGAAATTATGTACCCCAAGATTCAAATTAGTCATTATATCTGGCCAAGAAATGGAACTGACAAAGGTAAAGTTTAAAGTCTTAAACCACATAGGGTATTTTATAGAGCCAAAAGCTGCCCAACAGATTTGGGGATCAGCTGTGTTCATTATTTCCTCATCACACACTAGGGAAACCACAGGGTACAAGGCACTGTACTAGCTAGACATGATGGGATTTACAGGGTTCAGATTATTTTCAAACTCTTAAGACCTCCAGGTCTACTGCAATCCCCTTACCTACATCTGTCACAAATACAATCCTCACACACACACACACACACAAAATCACTAAGAATATTACTAAGTCAGCTGGTATTCAACGGGAAGAAAATGTTGGAACACAAATCTCTCCAGTGTCCTTGGAAATGTAGCCGTGATAAAGCTGCCAAGGTGGTGAGCTCCTTGTGGCAGTCACTATGTCCAGCATGGAGGCAAAATGGAAATGTGGCTTTAATTTTTGAATCGGTGGTTTTACAGTTTTGGTAGTAGATGACATCTACACCCTACACCAGGCTCAGTAACAGTACTTGGCATGACCAACCTTAATCATCACTTTGGTAAGTGCTTTGGCACGGGCCACTGTTGCTAACCACCATCCTGGTGCGGGTCCTTCACATCTGCTCTCCTATGGACGGAAAAAAGGAAGTGTCTAGTGTCCATTCCTTGGCCACGTCACCTCCAACCCTATCCTTTACTCACATGCCTTTTACTTCAGGCCCAGGAGAAAATGATTCATTTTGGAGAAGGAAAGTTAATTAGACAAAGCTACAGTACACTCTTAGCACAATGAAGACTTGGTGGGATGCAGAACATCCTCAGAGTGACGGTTGAGGGAACTGACCAGCAGCGCAATGCTGAAGAGGATGATTAGGAAGTGTTCGGGCAAACACCAACTCTAACAGACAGACACAGTAGCACAGTGGACAGAGCAAAGTCTTGAGTTCTGGAAAACGAAGTTCCTAATCTCACTTTGTTATGAAGCTACAAAGAGAAGGTATGTGAAAGTGTTTTGTAAACTGTTAAAGGAAATGTATCATCCTGTCATTAGCTTAGATATATTCAGGGGTAATTTCTTTGAGCCTCACTTCCTCCCCAGTTATAAATCTGATAATAGATTTCTGATAATTAAATAATGATAAAACACCCTGAGTCTTTTGGAAGAAAGATGTAGTATGTGAATACCAAAGGTTTATCTTATTGACAAGAGTAAATGTCCCTCTACCTGGAATGAATGGTCATTTCTCCACTTATCTATTAAATAAATACCTTTTAAACCTCAAGAATCAGCAAAAATGCTATATCTTCCCTGTGAAACAGTCCCTGATTCATCCAAACAGAATGAACTGCTCCTTTTCCTGGGTATTTACAGTTCAATATAGACCTTATTTTATCATTATTTCCATCTACCTTGTATTTTAGAATATCGTAGCCATTTCCTTCACTAGAATGTGCGTTTTCCAGAGTCTGTCATGTTCTCTGAATCTCCCTCATATTCCTAGCACAGTGCCTTGCACAGAGTAGCTGCTTAATAAATGTTCCCTGAATTGTACTGAACTTAGTCTACTTTGGCTTTATGCCATCTCTTCTACCTCAAAAAAACCAAAACCCCAAAATTAACAGTGAAAAGAGAGCAGAAACTTAAGACAAACATGTAAGATGCATAAAGAATGGCTTCATTCTTTGCATTCCTGCTTTGGAATGCCCACTGCTGATCTCCATACAATTTTCTCACTGATCATTAGTAAGAGCAAATGTTAGGAAGCACACACACAAAGGCAGACAATGTAAAAAACCCACCACACGTCATGCAAAAAGTCTGTGGTTTAGAACTGTTTTTAAAGTTGCCTTTAACTTCAATTTTAATGGCAGAATCGGTACCATCAAAACCAACACAAGACATATTTGCTTTGCTTTATACATGCAAAAAGGAGTATCACCTTCAGATTGAGTTGGGTATCTGCTGGGTGATTCTGGGTGAGTATGCATCTTCTTTGAGGCATAGTTTAAATCAAGTGGAAGAAGCTTGGCAATTTCAGACTTGACATAGCTTCAGGCTATTTATTTGTTGGCAGCTTCTAGAAATGTGGATTCCCCTGGGATTAAAAGGAGAAGGACCTAGCACCGTTTTCTGTCCCTTGCATAGGGATGCCTTATGGAACGGTCTTATCTCTTTCAGTAAGTCAAATACCCGGAATATACTGGAGTATTTTAGGCAGTCCTTTCCCCATCTCCCACTTTCCTAGCTTGGAGTTTACTCATCTAGGGTATATAGGCCAGTTGAACAGCATCTGTGTTACATTTTAAGAATTCATATTCAGCAAAATTTATGAAATTTGTTTATTGCTCTAACACACGGATATGCTCCACATAGGTCCTTATTAACATTTTCCTCTCCAGCTTCTACTAGATGGACTCTGTTAGTTCTCATCCTAACTTCTGTACTTAAACCACAGTTTCATTAGCTACGTTCGATCCTTTTGGAAGTAGCCAAGCACAAATCTTATGTTTCTGATTTCATTCACACCTTGTTATTCTGTTTCCTATAGGTTTGCCTATAAGTGTCTTCTCTTTGCTTATAATTCTTTCAGTAAAGGAACATGTCAATTCTATATAAAGGTATGGAGAATGTCATTTGCAAACAAAGGTCACTTGAAGATTGTGTGCATAGTTAGTTAGCTGTAGATTCTCCCTCTTTAGGAAAGGATGAAAACTTAAAAGGACAATCTGGAAGTCACTAAGTTCTAGTCCTATTAGCTTTGCAGATGATGAAGCTATTTTTATATAGCTTCTACCACATCACCAGCATCATTTGCAAAAAGCTCAGACTCTGCAGTGTCTACCCATACTTGTCACACTCCCTAAGTCTGAAGTCCGTCAGCCTCCTGCTATGCTTTTAGCCTCTACTTGTTTCTCTGTTACACCTTTTCCTATAGTGGCTGGCTTTCTGGCTTTCCCATTCCAGTTGCTACTTCTCCTGACTGAGGGATACTAGCCTTTACATAGTTGCTGTGAAAACGAAAATGATCAGAAGAAATATACCTTTAAGTGGTAGCTGCCACCAACACACAGAAGCACTCATTCAAGATGGCTTAAAGGAGACAGTGACTCAATGTATGACTAGAAAATAGAGCAATTCAGGCAAGTGTGAAAGGAATTAATATTTTCTAATAACTCCAAGATGACTCGTTGCTGATTACTACATATTTGACTTAATTATTTTCAAAACTGGCTATTTTTGGAAGGGAAGGTGGTATGAAGCAAGAAGGGAAGGGGAGATTGTCTTTAGAACCCCTAATTAATACAAGCACTTGCTTTCAGAAAACCCTTAATTTGAGCTATTCCTTTTCACTTTTTCCTGTTGGGTGCATGGCAGTTTAGAATTCTTGGTTTCAGGAGCAACCCAAAAAGACAGAAATTGCCAGCTTGCACATCAAAAATGGAAAAAAAAAAAAAAAAGCATAATGATTTGGAACAAGAACCAAAACAGACTAAAACAAAAATACAAGAAGCAGCAAAATCATTGAACCTAACTCACAGCATCTTTTTGAAGACAGGGAGGTTAGTTGGTTAAATACCACAGTGATCTAGTAGTTCCTACCCTAGCTTTGAGAGTTTAAATGTTTAGAATGCACATCCAGAAGCGGCACACGTAGAAAAACCATGGTAGCCGAGAGAGGTCTGAACTACTGCTGCCCGGGCCACCCTGTTCCAATTCACATGGATTTCCAGAGTTGCTGTTCCATGGTAACTCTCAGTAAGAGAGACAAAGAAATAGAACATTTTTAGAAACCAAGCAGAAAATGGATGGGAATACAATACCTGGAGAGTTTATCAAGCATGTTGACAAGTTTCATGGCTTCATATTCTTTTTGTTCTTCTGTCATTTCATCTATGGGGTTTGGCATTGGTTCCTCTAAATGACCAGTGATAAGATTAATGCTACAAAAAGAAAAAGAAGTTATGCTGTATGTTTTAAAATTATGCTCTTTCTATACTCTCTGGTCCAAGTTGTAAGTTATAATAAGAAAGAGTATAATAGCCAAAAATGGGCAATAATAGCAATTTTATAGTATGGAACTGCTATAGGAATTAAAAAAAAATTACTTTTTCTACTAATTTGCTTTGGGAAATGGGTGAGAGTTTTACTCTTTTAAAAAAACAATAGCTAACTTGCCAACTTTGTTTTTTTTAACAACTGGCTGCTTTTTAAAAATATGAAATTTGATTGGTGCCGTTAGGATAAATATCCTTGGATGCATAGTTTATTAATTTAAAGAAAAAATGATTTCTTTGTAGGAGAATCCATTTTGTGATACAGCATAAAACAAATATATGTCAAAAAAACTGGAAAAATGATGACAGAGAGGCTGAAATCTGAAAATGAAAGCATGCCGATTTATAATCTCAGGAAATTAGTCCATTAGTGAGACCACAGAAGGCAATGAGTGTTTAAATAATAAAAGATAAAGCAGAAGAACAATTGAAATTAGATTTGATCTGACCTGGCTTAAAAAAAGAAATCTAGCCTACCAAGAGACAGGTATACCATCTGGCTTTCTGGAAATAATTTAATAAAGTACTTAAAATGAATATGTTCCATAAAGTTTGTACAAAGTTGTAATACCACACAAGCTATCCTCTTAACTGAAAGCCACACTATTATTTTTTTTTTTTTTTTGAGATGAAAGAAAATTCTTTCAATGGCTGCTAAATATCTATAACCTAAACATGTTTCTGGAAAAGCAGACAAGAGGTTATGGCATTTTGTTTGAGACAAGTATATAGACAGTTTGCAGGGATATTTCATTTGATCTTTAAAAACACAGCAAACTGTTAATTGTTTTCTAGGGTCTATAAACACAAATACTTTCAGTGGCCAGGCCTTCAGGATAAGCAAATGAGTGAACTGGTCAAGTATAAATAATGTGGAGTGTTGAGGACTGGGGTAAACTTGAGAACAGTGCCTGTCTAAAGGTGGCAGGAGGTAGAATCCTATGGGCCAAAACGAAGACTGTGACCAATTGGGTCCTCTGGGGGCTAGCTTGCAAGCTGTGCTTTAGACTTTGACTTGGGCAGTTTAACTTTCTTTACCAATCAGGGATTTCTCATTTGGAGAAATTCATTACTATTCATTACTACTACTACTATTCATTACTAAAAGATCTCCTTCTCTTTTTCTACATTCCTTGGAGGCTACATGATATTCAGATTCTTGTGGAAGGACTCAGTGCTTAGCATTCTCAACAAACATATCTAAAACCTCTGTTTTGTCATTCTTGCATAAGACCGAAGGCTGTAGCCATGATTAAAAAACTTTTTTTTCATTCAAAGCGGTGGACGGACCACCAACCTCCCCCTGCCTTTTTTTAAACAAATGAAATCTACACAGAAAGCCCACATATAAAACAAAGTGGAACCTCTCTGGCAGAAGAGGGGATGGGTGACCAAGCAGAGTGGAGGCCTAAAGCCCCTTCTGTTGGTCTGTACTTACTTGCTTCCTCTTAAGGTAGCCCCTGAGGCACTTTTAGGAACTCTAAGGAAACAGTCTGAAAACTCATAGGCTTGTCAGTGATTCTTAGCTTTGGCTGCACATTAGAATCACTTGGTAAACTTTAAAGAAAAGGCTTAGGCCTCACCTGAGACCAAGTAAATCTATATATTTTATTTTCCTGGTGGTTCTGATACACAATGAGGTTAAAGAACCACAGGGCTAGAGCGCCTACTTCAGACACTCATTGTGTGCTAGTATTCCCTCCCCCCCCCCTTTTTTTTATTCCCCCAGGTGCTATAATAGGAGAGAAAAAGGCCTCTAGTTAGTGGCCATTAACAAAAACAATGAATGCGGTCAACATAGTTCCCAAAAGTCAAGAACAAGGGGAGCCCAGACAAGGCTTCTAAGAACTATAGCATTTTAAAGATGAATCCAGATGCATACTAAAAATGTAATTCTACCATCCATCAATTATTTCCCTGGGCATATAGCAACAGCACATGTTTTCACAGTTCCTTTTCTGCCACCTGCTAAATTAGAAAAACAACTAGTCTTATAAATAAATTAGTAAAGGTACTTATTAGAGGTGTATACCACTTCCCAAGCAGACAAAGGAAATCAGGCCTTAGAAAAAAGTACAAGGAAAGGTAGATGTACTAACTATGTAGAATATGTTCGATTTGTCTCTTGAAAGAAGGCTCTTCTCAAGTTCAATGGAGGGGTGATTTAAGAAATGACATCCACAGACTGTTTTTGGAATATAATGACATTAGGACAAGCCATCACGTGCCTCAGGGGAAAATGTGTCAAGAGGATACACTGGTAAGCTCTGTGGTATCCACACTATAAGGCCAGAACATGAATTCCTGAATCAGGGTACATTTGATTCTTTTCTTGGTTCTTTTAAGGTTTTAGTACAAGTGATGTCCGCTTTTAATAAGCTGACCTCAAGCCCTTTGCTGCTAAAATGATTTAACAGCTTGCTCTGAAATTAGCTACTAACGTCACAAAATCTTTGCTGAGTATAAAAGCAGTAGCCAGAGATTCACTTACAGAGTAAGGATTTATCATCTTTTACTCATGTAATACCCCACCCCCAATATGTAGAAGAATGTACCCGGTGCCACAGCAAACACAAGTTGGGGCACTGAACTGTGCCACTGTTTTACGGGAAAAATGCCAATGTGCTGGGGACACTGCCGCCCCTCCTCCCCACATTAAACCAGCCTCCTGTGGTTTCCTTACCAAGAGAGGAAAACAGTCACCATAACAATGATGTGAGATTTCATAAAATGGATTATTTTCAGTTGAACAATCACTACAACCTCAAATAGTATAGTGTAAGACTTAACTTTCTAGGTTTTAGGATCTTAACACTGAAATTCTGAGGGTAGTTTTCTCTTGTTCTAAGACTGAATCTTAAGATGCTTTAAGTATACTAATTGTGGTAGATATTGTATTGGGTAATTTTATGGTACGATGTTGTCCCACCTTGCCTTCGTTCCCCTTCCCCATCTTCCCAGCCCTCCAATTCTATGATTGTATATGTCTTTCAGTTAGGTGACAAGAATTATTTAAATACCTATATAAAGCATCATCGAGCATTTCGTATTATATAAGGCTACTATCTATGAACTGACTGCAGTTATGGGCCTGGAGATGAAGGGATTAAGACATAAAAAGGTATGAGCAAATGAATATATACATAAAAAGCTGAAATATATTTCAAAACTTTTGCTTTTCGAGTTATTGCTACATTTGGTCAACATCAACAGTACTAGGTCACTTTACAAAAAAGAGCCATTAAAATTTCCATGAGCTATATGAAAATTAACTTCAATCTCCTAAGAAGTGTAGATTAAATTTCACTCAAAGCATTCTGGTTAAAGAAGGGGCTATAAAGGCAAATTCCTACAGGGGCTAGGCAGGTAAGGTAAATGACAAGGATATATTGTTAAACCAGAGGAGCTCATGCCTGGTATGGTGGGCACCACAGACCCTCCACTCCATCAGCCAGTTGCCACGTGAAAATGCAGGCTTAATGTTATTAGAACTTATTAAAAAAAAGTTCAAAATTCAAATTTCCATCTGAAATATCTGAATTCTAAATGTCGGCAACAAAATATTATGTAAAACAGAAAATGAAAACACGAAACTAAACCAATGAATGCAACATCAGGTAAGCCAAGCAGAACTTACTTGTGGGCTGAATCTAGTCTATGAGTGGACAATTTGCAACCTCCAGGAAAGGGATCAGGGTTAATAGGAAAAGGCTTTTGTGAGCTCAGAGCAGGAAAGAAGAGGTTAAGTGCAAATAAGGCTAGAAATATCTTTCCAGGAAAAACTCCCCAGAGTACGTGCCCCCGCAAAACAATAAAGAGTCTTCTGTATAGTCTCAATATATGGTGACAATTACAATGGGACTTAAAGCAACAAAACAAAATCTTGACAAAGAATAAAAGTCTCTTGTCTCATTCTGAAGAAATTACACAGCTGCTGCCACAGCTACTGCTGAGAGAAATATAGTCAAGAAGGAAACACCCCTGAGTTGCTTAGTACAATGATTTTAAGCTTCTGGGTGTGAGTATGAACTAGTGTAGGGTATTAAGAGTATAAGGAGTTATCCTACAGTTCTGCCTACTTTGGTCACCCCCTCCTTTTGCCCTCCATCTAGCAGCCCTTTAAAGATACCTCTTTGGACCCCTAGGCTCCTACATACCCATCTTGAAGGCCACTGGTCTAAAATGAGCCAAATGTCATCAGGTACACATCTTTCAACTGATGTCTGGAATGATGTACAAACCACATTAGTCACTTATACCACCTGTATGGTCAAGGGGCCTCCATGCTCTGAGGCATAAAAGAAACAGGTAGGTATATAAGTTAGAATTTGGAAATTTTTCTCTTTGATTCAGGACCAAAGTTTATCTGAAAACTTTTAACAAACATGGCTAGACTTACAACACAGTGTGTGTGGCATGTAACTTGATTCTTTGACTATATTTCTGCTAATTGCAGAAAGCCATTTCCAGTCCATTAAATACACTTATTTTGACACAAAAAAGACTGTTGTGAAATTAACTGTCTCCTATAGCCTAAATGTAAGCTCCACACAATTATTGGTTTCAGATTCCACTAAAGGATTACAGGTTACCTTGGTGCATCAATCAGAATCCACTTACATTTTTGACAACGGGACTAGGGCCAAGTGGATAAAGGGTAATTTCTCTGCTTCTGCCCAAACTAGCAACTGTTGTGAATAAATGCATCATAAGAAAAGCATACTGTGATCTTGGTGAAGGGTAATCAGATGGTAGCAGGGAAAGCAATCCTTTCAGGTGCTGACTTCATAAGCCTGACTAGATTGTTAAAAAGTTTTCATGATTTTTGGGGAAAAAGTTCTTTCAGTTCTGTAGATCACTCCCCAGAGCACAAGGAGTTGTCTTGCTTGCAAAGTATTTTGTTCATCACCACTTCCACAAGGACCATTTGAATAAATATTTTAAATTAACTAACAAACATCCCACTACAGTGTTTTATCTGAAAGAGGGAAGATGTAAGAAAAAAACAGATGCAAATCTATCTGAAGGGGAAAGATGTAATGCTTGCTAGAAATATATACTTGTAATGACCAATGTTTAAGAAACACAACAAGATTTCACAATGGTGACTATTCTGACCACACTAACACACCATTCCTATGAACCCTACAGGCCAGGTCCAAAGGCTGAAGAAGATTCTAACAAAGTATGAAGGCCTAAGTATGGACTCTTCCAAGCCAAAACAGTAACAATACCAAACATCATGGTCTTTGATTTAAACAAAAGGTGCTCTCCTGAAATCTAACATCACTTTCATAATCTAACACATTTCTATTTCCCATGCTATTAGAAGAGACCCAGTGTTCTTGTATTTCCTCCAATTTCTTGTTATAGTAGTGTTCTGGTGCTTGTGAGATATGTGATCATTACTATAATAGAGTCATTCACCAAACAAAATCAACAATACACATTGATATAATGACATCATTCATCCATGAGTATTCCAAGAGTTTCTATCTTAGTTGACTTGTCTGCATAACTTGGGACACAATGAATGCCTAATGTAATTTCTACCTTTGTTTAAAAATATGAGACTTAAGTGGTATATTTAATGTCTCAAATGAAGAGAGAGAAAAAAACTGATATGGAAGTATAGTTTATGGAATGGAAAAATCAAGAGCTAGCTAGCAAGACTAATTTAGAATGATGACTTCTATGATTAGGAAAAGATTAAAGTACAATTCCTCTATCTAAGCTTCAGTTACTTGATAGAGATGCCCAATTTATAGCATCTAAATGGTAGCAGTCTTAAGAATGTATTGGTTAGAGTCACTGCTAGTTTTATTTTCCCTGAAGCCTTTTCTTTCTAGGATATACTCTACAAGATCCTGCTGCTGAGACTGAAAGCACTAGAAATATTAAAAGTAATAATGCTACCTACTCGGGCCTGATTTGCCAAGGAATATAGGCCATATATGTCTTGTCTGATTAGGAAATGATCTTTGCTGTTACCTTCTGATAACCTACTACTTTCATGTTAACAGGGCACAGTCTATCCTTTAAAAAAAAAAAGCCTAATTTTGCAGATAATGATTTTCTATCCTTTATCAACTACCACATGATCCCCATTACACTCTAGAAACCATCAACAGGAAACCTAACATGTCAACATCATCGATAATGCCAAAAGGGATGGCTACACCCTTTTAATATTCATTAATGGAAACCAGAAAATTGAGCTCAAGTAACTCCTAATAAGTGGAACTAAGAAATTTACCTGGGATGGGGTTAAATGGGGGAAAAAAAGATGCGGAGGAAACAGAAGGAAGTAGAGGTGGTTTGTTTTGGGATAAGAGAATTAGTGTCTTTGATTTCTAAGCACTGATTCAGGAAAGACATGATAGTCTCTGGTTTGCCTATTCAAAGCAATAATACATCTGTTAAAAGATGATTAAGTGTTTGATAAAACTTTACTGTGGAGCTACACTTCCTTCCTTTTGTTAGTAATGTACCATTTTATTGATTCATAATGGCTTTTTTGCAAGAGGGAAGATCAGAATTTATGAAACCTATGTTTAGATTTCTGAGAAAGACTGAACCATCAAATAACCAGCTTAAATCCTTGGTCTTGGTTGTACCTTATACAATCCCAACCTACGGAAAGGAAAGCAAAAAGTAGCCACTAATACTTTTTAAGTGTATGATGGTAAATGTCTAAAAATACCATCTCTCCAAATTCTTAGGAGAGGATAATGAGCATGCAGAACATTTCTTGCAATATTATCTTTCCTTAATCATTTGAAGTCACTCTCTAAGCTACTAGCTATGAAATTGTCTCTAAAAACACTATTAAATGGAAAGCTTCCAAATCCACAAAAGAAAGGAAACACTTGGAAAATGAAAGACAAAGGAAGTGAACGGTAAATAACCAAATCAAAGGCACAGGCATAGGTGAAAAGAAACTTGATACTATACTTTGGTTTTGCATTTTTGTATTCTTCAGTGTCTGTGTCCTCGTCCTCTGAGTACCAATTATCTCCTCTTCCTCCAGCCAAGAGGCCCCTGGCCGCCAACAGTCCTGCAGCATTCCCATAGCCAGTGTATTTCAGCAGGCTATCCACTGCAAAAACAGAACAGGTTTTTAGACAGGAATCCTTGGGTCTTGGGTGCTCACTGTCACTACTGACTATTTACCAGTACAAGGAAGTTGGAGATCTATACGGCAGTAAATCTTAAAATTGAGAGATTTTCAAAGTGTGTTAGTGGTTATACTAAACTACCCATAAATTCTCTTGCATGCTCTGAGGACCAAAAGTCTTTTTTCAGGTATCAGAAATTCAAGTGGAGCTGTTTGGAATATACTTTGTGGCAGGAGTGGGGCTTCTGTGACCACAAGGCCATTAGCAAGAGTGGTGTTTTAATTTTCTGGTCACAAATCTTACGTCTTTATCCGGTTTTGGAGAAATGATGACTAGAAACTGGAGTTAATGAAACCCAGATTGGAATTTTACCAATTCAGTCATTATCTAAAATCTTTCTTATACCCTTTATAGGAATTGTCGGCAATAACGAAACTTAGGGATATTTGCAAATAGGATAGGCTAAGTTACTACTTTTTCAAAAAAGTCAGCAATAATACATAAGCACATGAGACCCACCAAGAAGGTAGGCCCAGGAGTGAGACTGGCTGGATTTTAGTAATGGCTCTACCACTTACTAGTTGGTTGACTTGGGTAAGTTATTTTACAGCTCTGTATCCCACTTCTTCTAATCTCAAGAATTGGAGTAATATCTACTTCACAGGTTAATACATGCAAAGTGCTTAGAAAAGTATCTGGCACAAAGTAAATGCTCTTTCTTTTTCCCTGGGAATATTAGGTAAAATGAGAATTTTAGACTTATCTTAGTCAACAACAACAACAGCAACAACAGCTCAGTGAACCATCTGATGCAGGGCAGTATTACCCTGTTAGTGCAAGGTGATATCTCTAAGACAAGCAGACCCATAAAACTTTTGCAGGGGAACCCTGAACTGTAGGATTTTTTTTTTTTCTTGGAAACTAAGCAATCATTAGCAGCTTTACTGAAGAGTACTTTCCTTTCATCAGGTACAGTTTCAAGGTGAGCACCAAAATATTCAATCTATCAGTCTAAAAATAAAAATTTTATTTAAGGCTTTCAATAAAATGTCATTCTAAAGACAACTGTAGGAAACAAACCAAACACTATCTTATTCATGTATAAGGCTTTAGTGAAACCTACATCTGAAATATTATTATAATTCAGACCACTTACTCAAAAAAGACAAAATAAAGCTGAGAAGATTCAGAGGGCAATTAAAATGACTTTGGGACCTGAAAAGGGCAGTGGATAGGCAAAAAGGTGGGTAAGGAAAGGGGACATATATGATCAGAGATGAAATCATTAAAGGCATGGATAGGACGAATAATCCAGGGTAGAGCTGTTCATTAACTTTTCAAATACTTGAACTAGAGGGTACCTTTCTTGACACTGAAAATAGGCAGTCTGGGGACAAATAAAAGGAAGTCCTACATTCAAAGGATATAGCAAACTGGTGAAATTTGTGTGAAAGGAGACATGGATTAATAATATAAGTAGATTAAAGTTTGCATGATTCTCTTTCAACCATTTTCTACCTTAAAACCTATTGGTAACTATTGTCTCCTTGGTAATAATTCTCAATGGGTGCTAGATAGAATCATATTGGAGATCACGGTGGTTTAATTTGAAAGCCCTTGGAATAAATCTGAATATGCTCCCTTTGCTGACAGGGCCTCTGCAAGACTGGAATGGTTTGGATAAATTAATGAATTCTTAATGGACTTTTAGGGATGTATACAGGTGTTCTTAATATTCACAGAGGTCAGACATTAATGACAGGGTCAGACACAAAGTCAGAGAGGCGAAGAATCATATATATGAATCCACATGGCACTGATACTCTCATTGTGTTTTTGATAAGCCTTACTTTTTAACCAATAAAGGTGTTTGGTAGTTCCAGAAAAAATACTGACTGAAATTGTGGAAGTCTAAATTGAGAAATGAATATAATTAAAAAAATAACAATAAAAAAGACATAAAATGTAAGTAACCACCTACAATGGCTAAACATTAAAATAGCTTAAGAATGCAGAGTTTATGAAAAGCCAAAATAGGTTAAAAAGTAACCTGAACACTAAATAATCTGCTATCTTAAGCAGAAAATCTTCCTGGAAGTTAGTTAATAGTAAGAAATCCCTAGCACTTTTATGAAAATAATGCTTACTGTTCATTCACTGGAACAAACATGTATCAACTCTGTGACAGTTTGGGTTACAAAGGCTATTTAAAGACTTGCTTTGCCTTTAAAACAGATAAGGCTATAGCCACTAGTTTCAGAATCAAATGAACTTTTGTTAATAGGATAAAATATTTTAAAAATAGGGGTTGGGGAAGGGAGATGACAAATGGACTACAAAATTTTCACAGTGAGAAATATTTTCTTTGTGAAGTTCTGATTGACATCATTTCATGGAATGTTTTATAACTACTTTTTAGCTATTTTCAAATAACACTGTAAAATATCCTATTCAATACTGGGAAAGTAGTAAAAAGAAAACAGACTGAACTTGGATGTTAAAGTGAGCTGTGGAGCACCTGGGTGGCTCAGTTGGTTAAGCAACTGGTTCTTGACTTTGGCTCAGGTCAATCTGATTTCACAGTTCAGTTCATGAGTTCGAGCCCTGCATTGGACTCTCTGCTATCAGAGCAGAGCCAGCTTCACGTCCTATGTCTCCCCCTCTCTCTGTCCCTTCCCTGCTTGCACTCTGGCTCTCAAAAATAAACATTTTAAAAAATAAAGTGAGCTGCTAAGGCAAAGAAAAGGTTTTCTGGGTGGCCCTTAAATAAAAAAAAAAAAGAAAGAAACAACATACAAATTTATTTAGGGGTACCTGGGTGGCTTTGTCAGTTGAGCGTCTGACTCTTGATTTCAGCTCAGGTCATGATCTCATGGTTCATAAATTTAATCCCTGAGTTGGGCTCTGTGCTGACAGTGTGGAGCCTGCTTGGGATTCTCTCTCTGCCTCTCTCTCTGCCCCTGCCCCACTCGTACCTTGTCTGTCTGTCTCTCTCTCTCTCAAAATAAACAAACAAACGGTGCACCTGGGTGGCTCAGTCGGTTGAGCATCTGACTTCGGCTTAGGTCATGATCTCGCAGTTCGTGAGTTCAAGCCCTGCGTTGGGCTCTGTGCTGACAGCTCAGAGCCTGGAGCCTGCTTTGGATTCTGTGTCTCCCTCTCTCTACCCCTTCTCCGCTCATGCTCTGTCTCTCTCTCTGTCTCCCAAAGATGAATAAATGTTAAAAAAAAAAAAATTAAAAAAAAAATAAACATTAAAAAAAAAATACTTGGTTTTTTTTGTCCTAGTAATCAACCATGCAGTTAGGTAAAACTGCTGCAGAAATGGGACAAATCAACAGTCAGAAAGTTGCAAAAAATATTTCACCACTATTTTATCAAGATGCTAGAGGTACTATGAACAGAGGAAAGCAACCATAGTAGCATACTGCAGTCAGAACTGCACTGGTGGTAATGGTATTGCAGCTTACGCAAACATGGGTTTTATCACACTCTGTCATGAAAACAAAAAGAGGTTTTGCTCTTTACCAAGGAGAAAGAATGGCAGAGCCAGATTCTACCTAGAGACCAATCCCCTTTCTCTGTTATATAGAGAAGGCTTTATAATCCTTTTCCTTCCAAATACTGCAACTTTTAGAAATCTTATACTAATAGCTTCCTCTAACTAGTCTCCCTATTTTCAGTCTCATGTCCCTCTAATTCCTTGTTCCATACAGCTGCCTCATAGATCTGTGTAAAGCAAAAATTTGTTATCACCTTCCTGTATAAAACCTCTAAGATCTGCTTCATTTTCTGGCCCCTGCCTTCTTTTCCCAAACTCATCTCCTATTATTCCTGCATATCATGGATTCTTCACATCTTGAACTAGTCTCTTTCCTATACATACCAAGGCTGTTTCCTATTTCTCTGCAAAGACTTTCTCTGACCATCTCCACATAACCAATCATTCCCTTTTTCAGGCTGCCACAGTACCGGGCACATTCCTCTCTTATAGTATACTGAAATTATTCCTTTACATGAAGAAATCCATAAGATTGTATATTCACTACACTACATTCAGATAGCAGAAATGTTTGCTCTTTTATTATTATCTCTAAGGTACTTTGTTAAAACTGGAGATCCAAAAATGAAGACAATATGATCTCTGACCTAAGGAAACTCAATGGCTAGAATGCAAGTTCAACAAATTAAGAGTTAGAATATAGCAGATGTCAAAAGTACTAAAAATGGGTGTAAGTAAAAATGGTACAAGGAGGACAATGATTAACTCTGCCTCCATGATCAGACAAGTCTTCACAGAGATGATACTTAAGCTGATCTTCAAGGATAAATAAAGCTTGCAATGCAAATGAAGACATTGCATGTAAAAGGAACAGCATTTGCCAAGTCATGGAGATAATGCCAAGAAATGGTACAGTATGATCAGGTGAGAACAAAAAATATAGCATGAGTAAGCAAAAAGTATATAGTAGTAAATTTATAATTAGTAGTAAATTTAGAACTTAGAAGCACAAAAGGCAGGCCATGGAGGCATCTAAGAAAATTTGGATTTTACCAGGTGACAGGGAGTCACTGAAAGTTTTACAAGGTGGTAGTGATGAGATTATATTTGTATTTTAGAAGAATCTTTTTGCTAACCACATGGAAGACAGACTGAAGAAAACCTGACCAGAAAGGAGGGATATGACTTATTAATAGTTTATATTAAGAGATACACTGAATTGGGAATCCCCAGCAAATTGGCTGAAGCAGAAGCCAAGTAGAGGATAAGATCACTCAGGGGACAATGTAAAATGAGAACAGGGGTCAGGAGAGAACTCTAGGGAACACTGGCAGTTCAATGTGGGCAAAGACAGTTGTTAACTATGATTAAAAATAAAGGTCAGAGGAAATCTAGGAATGTATGGTAGCACAGAGATAGAGTGGCCAATAGTGTCAATTACAATGATAGATGCAGTAAAATGAAGGCTAAAAAATACCC